ATACATACATACATACATACATACATACATACATACATACATACATATTAGTCTGCAATGCTAGGTAAGTGTAGGAGTGTATAATATTAAAATCTCATGGTGCAGGAACTTTTTCTTTCCAATGATAAGCTCTAGATATTGATTTGATATGTTTTTAAAGAGTACAATATCTGCTTGTTTCCAAGATTTTCTCCTACCATTCTCTTATGTCTAGACTAAAATTTTCCTCTTTTATTCAATAAAAATTGAGATTTTTGTTAATGAACAAGGAATGTTGTGAAATTAAAGGCCATGTGTAAAGGTAAGGTTCAAACAAATAAGTTACTGTTCCGCTGCCCTACAATTAGATGATTAATTTGAAGAAAACCTGGGTATGTGCAGAATTGCGGAAAACCTGAGTAGAAGATATAAGTACAGTTGCTTTTGATATTTTATGTGCTCCTATTACTTTTCTTTAGATACACACAAACTGCTTTTCATAGTTTCCCCAAGCATAATTTCTTTCTTGCTCAAATGTGTCTATTCAAACCAAAATGATTAAAGTCTGAGCTTACTTGCTTTCCAAGATGTTCTTGGATTTCAATTCTTATAATGCCTGACAATAATTAACGCTAGCTAGAAATGATATGAATTGGAACACAGCAGAAGCTCAGGTTTGCCAGTACCTGATTTAAAGAGTATTCTTCATGTTTGCATGATGTTTTTGCAAACAGTTATGAAGAAGTCAATGAACACTTAAACATAGTTTGCGTTCCTAAGTAATGCCTTCCTAAGACACACACAAAAAATTACCCTGGTTACGTAAACCTCCTCTCTTCTTTTGCTAAAGAAACAAAAGGAGTTTGATTTTTAGAGTTGGGTAGGGTGTGGAAGAGAAGAGGGCAAAGATATGAAGGCAGCCCAGTTGTTGACTAGTATGACTCATCACCTGTATATTGCTATTCTCTAGATTAAAAAAGCTGAAATGGATCGGAAAACTCTTGATTGGGAAATTGTGGAGCTTACCAATAAGCTTCTGGATGCCAAAACAACTATCAATAAACTAGAAGAGCTTAATGTAAGCAATCTTTTTTTTAAAGCATTGATCTTGTGTAAGAAATAGAAATAATTAATAGGCTTATCCTTACTTAAGTATATTAGTGTTTAAAGTTCTGTGAGGAGGAGCTGTTGAGGTAATTCCCCATTAGGAGAATGAGCACATACAGGGAGACGTATTGAGAGAACTGTTTGAATAATACACACACAGCACACAGATACACTGTACAGTAAATGTAGGTTTTTTACTTTCAATAAAGGTTTAAGCAAAATTCAAAATAAGCAGTCCAAAGTCATTCACAGGTAAGATCAGTCAGTTTTCAGTCCAGGGATAATCCAATAACAAAGTCCAGTATCAAAAAACAGTTCAGTATCAGACTTACATCAAATTCAAGAATAACAGTCAATTAGGAGGAACGGCAAAACTCTCCAACAGAAGGAAAACAGACTCACTGAGACACACTCTCTTCTGAGACTCTTTTGAGACTAAGACTAAAACAACCCATGTTTCTGGCTCCACCTTATGGCCGTTTGAGAAACTACACCCAATTACAGTTTTTGCATTTTCTTAAAGATACAGTATTAAAATGTCTATCCTGGTTTATATATTTCCAACCCAAATAGCTGTTAGGTGACTTACATTCCTAACAGCAGCACATGACAGTCTGCTAAAGATCAATAAACACCATTATTAAAAAAAAAGACCAGCAGTGTATAAGAGAGTCCAATTGCTATCCAAGCAACATATTGATGCTAAACGTTTTCAAGAAGATGCATTGTGAAAATTGGGATGCTTTATCAGTGTTTCGTTTAGAACAGCTTTTCTCAAATGTACAAAAATTATGAATATGGGCTTTGCCACTTGATATGATTCATATGCCAGCATATCTTGAGGACCTAGGTATGGAAATGCAGTGCATTAACTGACAGCCATATAACTCGGGTTATTCTATCAGACTTTTACCAAGGATTCTGAAACATTTTTTTGTCCAGTGAGTTGTTTTTTAATTTATTTTTTTAATTTTTATTATTTTTCCTTTTAGCTTTGTACACTGATGCACCAGCCTGGCCTACATATCACTTCTATATGGTCCTATCTCTAAATATGGTCTAGGCTGGAGGGGTCAAACTCAAGGCCCGCAGGCCAGATCTGGCCCTTGGGATGCTTAGATCTCACCCACGGGGTTGTCCTGGAAACAGCAAATGACTGGCCCGTGGTGCCTCTGCCAGTAAAAACAGAACTCAGGAGCCCATTTTCACTGTCAGAGCTCTCAGGTCACCATAGGCGCCCCTGACACGAGTGACATCAAGCTGCCCTCCCCCAAGGTCAAATACAACCCTGATGTGGCGCTCAATGAAATTGTGTTTGACACCCCTGGTCTAGGCCTTTTCTTAGGCCTTATTTACTGACTTCTGTTTGTAAAGCTATAAAGTTCTCCGTTTACAGTAGTTTTCTTTCATAAAGCCTGTTTTAAAAATAACTATTCTTGTTTGTGAATGAACTTGTCAAATTGCAAAAGTTTTAATCAGCCCCAATGGAGAAGAGGCTAGTAGCTAGAACAGGTAGTAGACAATAGTAGCTGTACATTTTAATGCATTTTTATTTTTCTAAAATGTTCATTGGGATTTGTGAGGGAAATTGATATGATCAAGACTGGTTCTGCCCTTAGCCTTCAGCTGCCAGATTCTGGGTTGCTGTAAACTGTTGCAAGTTCTCAGTTGTTTCGTTTTCATCATTATGGAATACTTCTGTAGTTTTGCCTGGGATATCACATTGTTGTGAACCATTTCAAGCTATGTCTCTTCAATTATGATGTGTTGTCTTGACAGGAGCGATACCGGCTAGACTGTAACTTAGCAGTGCAGCTCTTGAAGTGCAACAAATCTCACTTTCGAAACCACAAATTTGCTGATGTGAGTAAAAACCTGAATGGGTTTGAGGACTGGTGAATCACTTTAATGGCCTGGGATGAACTGCATGTCCTTATTTTTCTGTGATTTCTGTTTCCTACAAAACAGTTAATGACAGTCATTTTGTACATGTTGTTTCTCGTTCTCATTGCCTGATTGGCTTTAAATTCAGTAGGTTCCTGAAAAGAGTTTCATGAATTGCAGGTTTCCTGCTTCATTCTAACTTTACTCTTTTTGTTTCAGCTATCCATTTCTATGTGAATCCTCAGCACAATGAGTTATTTTTAAGTGAACTAGTAATCCAGTACAAGTATCTGTTTACTACAGGGGTTTTTAACTAAAGTGAGGAGGCGATTTAGTAGCAGGACAGAAAATAAGGAAACTAGTTAGACTAGGAAGTTTAAATATCTGGTAGATTTCCAGATTTCATAAATATCACAAATCTGTTCCAAAGTTCAGTATGTTCTTACTACTGCTTTTACCATTACGGTGAGTATATTTTTGCTGGTTTTCAGGCTTGCAGAATGGTATACAAATACAATCATGGTCAACTAGAAGTCCTAACAGCTTTTGTAAAAAAAAAAAAAAAAAAAGGATACATAGTTCAAATCTGCTTTCAAGGTAAAAATCTGTGAGTTAAACTGATGGCAATCTTAAACAGAAAGCTATATACAAAATATATGAAAGGAAAGGACTTACTGTCTCTTGACAGTGTTTCTAAAGTATTGTTATCACCACAGAAGAATTCCTTACTTATCCAACAGATCTTTATAGTGTTAGATTTGTTCCCAAGGTAGATGTTGAAAGTCTTCTGGTACTGGTGTATCATTGGACTCGCAGTTGAATTGGGACCAAGATTTAACATCAAATACAGTTGAAACATTTATACTTTGTTTATACATATACTTATATTTATTGCAGCTTTTTAAAATAGGAACAAGATTAATAGATGATGTTTGCATAATACGTTTTAAAATATATTGATAGATTTGAAAATCAGTATATGAAATCTACCCTTTCTTTATTGGAAGAGATAAATTCATCTTCAGTTATACTATATTATTCCATAATTAAATGGCACCTCTACAATTATATAAGTATATAGAACACATTTATACATTAAAACTATTTTTAAACACTTGCTTTCTCCCATTTCAATATTGCAATAACACACCAGTAGAATCAATTATATCATGAATTTTTCAACTAACCTGTATATATTCTGATGTCTAGAATCAGCTGCTGCTGACATCTTCAAACCTCCCACTCTATCTCAAGAATTTCATATTATTTTAGTTAAAATGAGATGCTTTCAGTTCAGGCTAATGGAGACCAGACCAAGATGCTATTAATTCCTATAGATATTGAATATGCTATGAGTTCTAGTGATGTCATTGTGCTTCTTTGTGTTCTTTATGTACCACACAGATAGGCCTTACACATGAACAGAATATTCTTCAAAATACTGTAGAATTGAACACCTGATTCATTCCTGTGCTTGAGGATTTGAGCTTATGCTCAAACGACATGGCCGCTGCTTTCCTGCAGTTTATTGCCACAGTGGCATCAACAGCATCAAAAGATTATTTGAACCTTCTGCCTTGGAGATTTAGATTAAGTGACTTTTCTTGGGCTTTCTTTTTGCATATTAATTTTCCTAAGTACAGTATTTATTTAGTAAAGTGGTACTTTTATTTTTAGTGCTTCTTTGGAGCCTGGGTTTTTTTCCCCCAGCTGCATAAGAAAATTGCTCCATTGTATTGAAATTGTGCCTTGATGAAAGCCATCACATTCTTGCTTTAATATTAAGAGATTCATGCACATGCTGGTTTTCAACATTTAAAAAAATGGATTATTTCAAATATAGACTGCCAAACTACTCACCCTATGGATGACTTGTGGGCATCCCTTTAGGATATAGAGTTATCTATTATTTATACAAGGGTGGTTTTTCATTTATATTTGCAAGCCTGGTACATCATGTTCTCAGGTATCATTGTTTACACATTTCTACTGTTGGATATTTATGTTAACACAATGCTTGTCGTTGCAATCCTAACGCATCTGGCCCATCACCAGGGCATTTGGTCAGGGACAAAGACTCTGCATGTCACCTCTGCATTCACTCTATTCTATCTCTGCCGTTGGTGCTGGTTTTCATGTTCCCAGTCATTCTTCTTTTCATGGTTTACAGGAATTGTTGCAGTATTTATTGAGAAAAGAACAAGAGCTGAGTCCGGCAGGAAGGCATCTTAAGAGAGCAGGGAAGGATCATGTTCTGCTAAAAACTCAGCTCTAGAATGTTCTGCACAGAATCTATTTGTGTGACTGCACAGTTGAAAGCTGATGAAAATGTTATACCCCCTTACTTATAATTTGCTTGATAGACTGTCTATGAAAATACTCCCAGGGAGTGCAAAGTGGTTCTGTTGCCAAAATCAGTTGAACTAATTCTAGGGCAGTTTGGCCAAGATAGCGGCCTATAATTACTAGATGCTTCCTGGCAGATGTAGTTTATAACAAGGGCAGGGAGGGATTTGGTCATTCAATTCAGTGTGACAATCAGCTTTTTTCCCCCACCAATCAATAGTATTGTGTTGGCCTAACACAAGCAAGGAATGCAAGATATTAGAAATATTTCTATTTCTTCTAAATGTACATTGGAAACACAATATTTCCCCTGATTCCGGGATAGAAATAGAAGAATTTTGAATGTGGGTGTAACATATTTGAAAAACTCTTCAGTTATATTTAGTTATAACAAGCAATTTAGATGGGTTTTGCAGAAATCTCTGCAGACACCTTGGTGCATTTGTCCATCCCATTTACCCTGTTTCCTATATGCTATTTTAATTCCAGACTACTCTTGTCTTTTTCTTATTAGCTTCCATCTGAGCTTCAAGATATGGTCAACAAGCACTTGCAAAACACTCAGGATTCTGTAGGCCCTGACCAGGAGGAACTGCACACCTTGGCTCCCTCTGATGTTGTGCCCACCTCAGTCATTGCTAGAGTGTTGGAGAAGCCAGAATCACTTGTGCTGAACTCAGCCAAATCCAGCAGTGGAAGTTGCTCTATGGCTGAAGATGTTTTTGTGCACGTAGATATGAGTGGCACTCTTCCTGAAACTTGTGTGAGTTCGGGGCAAGGAGAAAGCAAGGGGAAGGAGGGATCTAGACAGCAAAATGGGAGCTACAAGTCACAGAACTGCTTGGAGAGCCTGCCAAAGGAGGTGCCTACTTTTGAGAAACTAAGCCCATATCCCACCCCTCCCCCTCCCCACCCCATGTATCCAGGGCGCAAAGTCATTGAGTTTTCCGAGGACAAGGTGCGGATTCCAAAGAACAGCCCGCTGCCCAATTGTACTTATGCTACCCGCCAAGCTATCTCTTTGAGCTTAGTCCAGGGAGAGGATGAGAACTGTGACAGGCAGCGCCCCTTTCCCAGCAGCCCAGCCTCAGGTCAACGCTCTGCCTCCAGCTGCTCCTACCAACCTTCCCCCAAGTTGAGCCGGGTTCCTGGATCTTCTCAAAGCAGCCCCTTCAGCAGCCCCCCACAGGTTCCCAGCACATTTGCCAGCTCTGCCAGCTCCGAGGAGGATTTACTGGCCAACTGGCAACGGGTGTTTGTAGATAAGGCTCCTCCTGCCACAGAGCAGGTGCTAGTAAACCGGACTGCATTTAGCCGTGACACGGCACAGGAGCTCCAGAAACGTTTCAGCCGCTCCATGCAAGAGTTAGGTCGGGTAGCTTCCGCCTACTCAGATGGCGAAGAATCTGTGCAGAGCTGCAGCTGGACTGTAAGCAGGGACTCGAGCGTGGACATTGACAGCACAGAGTTTCGGAGTCGCCGGAACCACTTCTCTTCTGACTACAGCACAGATTTCTCCCAGGACGAAAGCTGCAAATTACTGCAAGGGTCCGGTACTGAGGGGATGGCAGAGCCTGTCATTTCTTCGCCAGAGAAGTCCAAAGATTACCCAGACTACCCATCTGGGAGCCCAGCTGAAGAACAGGAATTGCTGTTCCAGGACAGGAGGGTGAACAGCCAGGAGGGGGTTTCGGAGCAGAGCAAGGATGCCAAGAGCAAGCCACCTCCTGGGCGCCCACATCGCAGCCCCAAAAGAATGGGGGTTCATCATTTACATCGGAAGGACAGCTTAACCCACGCTCAGGAGCAAGGCAACTTACTTACTTGAGAATGGAGAAGAAGAATTGTCTTGGCTACCCAGGTTGAGTGTTGCATTCTCTTCCCAGGGTTGCCCTTCAAGCCCCGAGGCTCAAAGGATTGCCATCTCGGTTTTTTTGCCAGGAATTCTAGGCAATGTTTAAGTATTTACTGTCTTTTTAATACATGGGAAAGGGGGAAACAGCTCTAACACCAGGATGCACTTGGGTGTATGCTGGCAACTCTTTTGTGCTTATGTTGACTGTTCAAGCACTCCTCAGGTGTGGATAAGAGATAGAATTGTGCTCTCTGTGCCTACCGTCTTCAACCTGTTCTCCTTGTCTAGAAGGCCAAGATCTAGAAAATAGTTACACTGAGTCCAATTATAATAATATATATGATTGGAAAACCAGCACAATTTTAGATCTACACAAGCACTCTAACTATGTGAAATTGAATCTGGTGGTAATTACCTCACAGGCTTTCCCTCTTAAAAGGTAAAGAACAATGGAGCAGTTAAAACAAAGATATGCTTTCTATCTCCCCTCCATGCATCCTTTCTCAAAATGCATGGTGCGGGATTCCACCTGACTTCATTTCTTCAAAAATTCTGCCTTCACACTTACTGATCAGTTCCAATTGATTCAAATTAAGTCCTGAGACACCTGAAGCCTGTCTTTCTACCTTTTTGGCTCATGGCCCAGGATAGGAATGTTTAGTCCCTATTTCCTTGCCTCAATCTCCCACCAAGCCATCAGGCGAAGAAGATGAATGAAGTGAGAAGCCTTCTGTGAGTGAACAGAAGTTCTGTAAGCTTTTGGTGAATTCTGTAACATTTGGACGAGTTCCTGTTTGTTTCTCCAAGGCTTCCTGTGGCTGTATGCATTGGTCAACAGGGCAGATGAGGCACAGGAATCACCTCTACCATTTCTTTACATGTTGCATATGAGGAGTGGGGCTCTATATTTGGGAACTTGGGGTTTTCGGCCAAACTAGACCTCAGACTCCCTGCCATAGTCTCCCAACTTGGGCTAGATTGTTTGCCATAATGAACTGAGTAGCTGTCTGTTTAGCTATCACTTGGATACTTTGGATCGTGTCTTGGTGATAGTATACTATCTATGTTTTCCTTTGGATTAGTCTTCCTCACTCTTATTCTTTAGATGTGTAGGGGCTAAAATTCTCAGCAAGCGTGACTGTATAGGCTTGTGTGGTTTCAACACTTCTGAGGGGATGCCAAATTGAGGAAGGCTGCTTCAGGTCTTCAGCTGTTAATATGTACTTATCTCTCCATTTTTGGGTGAGCAGAAAGGTGTGGTGGAGTGGGGTGGTACATGCTGTAGAAGAGATAGCTCAGCTTTTTGATTTTGAGTCATCTTAATCTAAGACTAAACCATACAGCCAGATTGCCTCTTGATGACTCTTCTTGGCACAAAATTAGATACTTCTTGTTTGCCCCCTTGGAGATGGCTGATGAAGATGGGCATCCCCATATGGGGTCCAAATTGACACTAGTGCCTTTCCAAGGCCTTATCCAAGGTCTTTTATTCCCTTTCCCCCTTTTTTTGTTTCCTATTTGTATTCAGTATTTTGTTCTTCCTTTCTGGCTATGTTTTTGTGTGTTATTTGCGCATCAGAGGGGAGGGACTAATTTCATAGTGTTAAGAATTTTTCATCAAAGAATCAAACTTCCATATTTGAATTCATTAGCCTGCCATGCTATTCATGCAACCAGAGAAACTTCTTGGCTACTTCCCTTAATTGTTTGCCAGTTATTTGTTTGAATGAGACTTTGGTAATTTTCTGTTAGAGAATATTACGGCCTTTCTTTTCAAATACAGCAATCTGGTCATACCTGACCTTTTGGATATGGTCATGTTTAAATTCTTATTAATGGACCATTCCTTTAGTTAAGCTGCTAGCTACTACATTGTATTAGTGAGATGTAACACAGTATTTTTTGCTAATAAACTGGCGCTAAATATATTATTCCTTTAGCTTACATAATACTTAGTGGTCTGATTTCTTCAGCTGATATTTATTTACTTCTTTGTTCATTCTCCTGATTTAGCTTGTGAATTCCTTGAATTTTCTCTGCACTACATGGAAGAGGACAAAGGTCACTATTTTTTTCTGTTCCAGTCCTCCTGTATTCTTTTAAATCAGGTTACTGATGGAGATAGGGCAGCTTGGTGACCTTTTATTTAAACCAGTATTGGTTGAATCTTATCTAGTTGAAATGAAATAATTCTCATGAGCTAATTGGGTCAATGGAATCGATTTGAGACCATTTCGGTTACAATATGTTAAATCCAGATTCAGTTCTCCTTTCTGTGTTTGGCTGCATAAAACATTCCGAAAGTGACAGAAGTATAGCTGATAACCAGATGATTAAAAATAAAATCCTCCTCTCCTTAGGTACATTGAGCTAAAGAAGGAACCCCATAAAATATCATCTCAGGGTCGCTACCATCCCTCTTTTGGCCCTCACAGCCCTCCAAGTGGGTGGGATTTAAACTTTTGGATTTTTTTACATTTAAAAAAAAAGTTGGATGTGGTTTAAGAGCCAAAAATGGATAATGTAAACCTTGCAGAGGTTATGGGTACCCATTTATCCCCTTAAGCTAACCCCTTCTATAAGTGACCTTTGAAGTGCTGTTGACATGCCGCCCAAGCACTTGGGTAGTCCTGTAGGTAATAACTTAATGGGCTAAAGGCTGGGGGAAGAAAGCCAGAAGAAAATAAATATTTTTTTTTATTATTATAAAGGAATAGTATAATTTATCAGGTGAATTGTGCAATCTGGCTTCTTAGTCCTTCACCTCTGGCAGTATTTTGTTGGAGAACTTGAATTGACTCATTTTAGCTGTTCCCACACTTCAACTCAAGACTGTTAACCTACAACTAAAATGTTTTGGTGGTGGTGGTGTGTGTTTTGTTTTGGGTTTTTTTGGATTTTTTTTTGGTTTTGTTTTGAGATTTTCAAACTGATAATGTATATTTTAAAGGCAGAAATAAAACTATTTTAAAAATACGTCTCCGCAGTTGGTTCTTTATTTTGTGGCTTGAATCAGAAACAGACCATAGAAATCTTCTGCTAAAATTCTAAAGATGCAATCACAGGTATTTTTCAAAACTTGCTAAATGATGTTAACCAGAAATGCACGGGATCTAATCTGGAACCACCTTAATGCAAAAGATTGCTTTACCACTGAGATACAACTCTACCTGTAAATTACACCAAGATTAACTTTCCTTTATGATTGTATTCAAATTGCATTTTTCCCCTAGAATTATCAGTTAGGTAACAATTGACCTTTGGTCTTTAGCAGGATGCTGAAGACCTTCGTGTAGCATGAGGCACCCTTACTAAAGTAGAAGCATATATTCTTTTTTTTTTTAATTTTCAGCATTTGGTTTTTAGATCCCTTCAAATTCTTGATATACATTTATACCAGCCTTTCCCAACATGAGTCCTTCTAGATATTCTGCTCTCTAATATCCACCTCAATCTCACCTTCAACCACTTTGAAGGTTGTATTTGAAATCCAAAACATCTCTGGTTGGAAGTCGACTATAAACCATGCAAGGGTTTACTGAAAAAATCCTAATTAGAAAATGCAGACACTGCTGCCTCCTATTGGTTTTCAAGGTCTTCGTGTTTTATTTGCAAAGGAGATATATAATTTTCTAGAACGGTAATACTGTACAATAATATACTGTAGTTGTTGGACCAAAGTGAATGTATACATAGAAGTAAGGCCAATATATAAAAATTAGTAGAGATAATGAGCTGTAATCACAACTGATCTCTAATATGCTTTTCCATCTTCACTCAAACTGAAAGTGTGATGGTCTATTGCAGTGGTGGCAAACCTTTTTGGCACCGAGTGCCAAAACGGGAGCGCACACGCACCAAAAACCAAAAGAGCAGCTCCCTGGCGTGGCATGCAGGAGCACCACAAAACAGAACCTCAGCTTCCCAGTGCGCACATGTATGCCAGCCACCTGGTCTTCCTGTTTCTAACGCATATGTGTGCGCGAAGACCAGCTGGCCAACACACGCATGCACACCAGGGAGATACTCTTCCCGTTTCTGGGGCTCCCGCACACGCAAGGACCAGCTGGCCAGCGCAGATGTGTGCGCTGGAACCCAGAAGAGCAACGAGCGACAGCTGACATGCCCAGAGAGATGGCTCTGTGTGCCATTTGTGGCATGCATGCCATAGGTTCACTATCACGGGTCTATTGTAATGTTATCCCTTTGGTTTTGAATTAGTTGTTGATACATTCCTAGGGGAATGAAGGTTTTGAAAGTTTTTTTAATTGATCCATTTATGTGTGCTTTAATATAATTGCTTTGGATTTTATTTTTAATCAAGAAAAAGTTGGTTCATTGGACTTATTACAGATATGGGCAGAGGATTTTGTAGTGTGGTATCTTCTTCCTACTCACACCCAGGGCAGAACCACAAGATTCTCACGCTTTTTGTGGGAAGATACTTCTCCACCACCAGCTTTGGTATGATAAATCCCAGGATTACCTAAAGAAAACATGCTTCGAAAAATATAGTGTGTGTGTAGTTTTAAACTATATAGAATTACAGTAGTTACTGAAATTGATATGTATCAACACCTAGACAAGCTAGATGCCACTTCTGCTGTAAAAAAAAACTTTGTGTAAGTCAAATGTAGCTGTCATCTTCAGCAAAATCAGGGCATTTTATGGTATATCAGAGCTGTCCCTGACTGGAATTTTACATCTGGAGAGTTTATAGCCATTGCTGTTAGAAACTACCTTCTGCTCTGCCAAAGAATGCTTCATCCAATCATTGTAATAGTTATGCTCACAGGGTTTTTATAAAGGAGGACCCAGAGTACTGCATGGCAATTCTACAGATGTGTCCCAAGGAATTCATAGTGAGTCTTTAGGACTCACACACATGAAGTTACAAGGGGTCCACAGGAAGGCAAATTCTATTAGACTCCGCTTATCTGGAAATAGCGGTTGGTGCTTATTTCTTCCCTTTTGCCAGTGGGAGAAACTATTTCCCCGGCTGGAGCCAAGGCTAATACAACACATTTGGGGTTTCTGTGCCTCCCCCAAATAATTTGCATCCCTTCTCGCCATTTGCTGCTTTGGGTGTGGTAGGAGCCGAAGGAATAGGAAAGTCTTATGCCCTCGTTCCTTTGCCTTTTTGTTGTTGGTGATTAGGGATAGGCGTATATGCTGGTTGGTTGGTCAGGAGTTTCTTTTTTCAATCTCAGTAAGATCCATTTCTCTAGAAGCGCTTTCTAAATAGATTACCTTGTTTGAAAAGTCCCAATATGAGGACTGATTTTATTACTTTGCTTTCCTGTAGTCTACCTGTATTGTCATTTGGTGTCTACATTAGAACTCATGCCTTCAACCGAAAACTGTATAATTTAGGTTAATATATGCCATAAAGCCAGGCTGGCTATTATGATTATGCCTTCTCCTGCCTTGGCCATGGGATCAAAAATCTAGGGAAAATGGAATAGGCAAGGAGGGCTCTTAGTAATAAGACTAAGGCAGTTAATGGGTTCTGTGTTACATAACCTTCACTCTGTCCTGTGGATATTCTAAAAGCATCTTTCTCATCTTTATATACTTTTAGCTTCCAAAATCAGAGGTATCATGGGAACAGGTCCAGGAATGTCTTTGGAAGGTTATAGAATTTGTAGGCCAAAGCCCCACTTTGTCATCCCTGGAGTTCCTCATTCTGTCTTGAGTACTTTACAGTATTAGGTACTTCAGAAAAATGGAAGCAAAAAAAGGAAGTTCTCTATTACAAACACCCAATTACAACAGATATAACACGGGATCCATAGAAGCAAATGATTCTGATTCTTTTAGTCTAGGGACTTAACAGACTACCCCTCACACCCCAATTAGTTGTGGAAAGATTGCCTTTTGGAAAAGCCTGATGGATCTGACGCATGAATGTTAGTCTTCTGCTCCATCTAAGGAGAACTGCCTCTTCCTCTTCAACCAAATTTGCATGTGGGAGGACAGGATGACTTGTTAACCTGACATCCTATGTCTTCCCTTTGCAGTCAGCCTAGTTCATTGCAGTGGAAGTCTGGGGAGGAAGAAAGGGGGACAAAAGAGGAGAACCGTGCTACTTTTCTCTCTCATATTTGCTTCTGTAAGTTAATCTGGCTCTGAATCATCCATAGTGGTATTTTCTATCTTTCTCCACTTCTATGGCTGAGTAGGAAGGTTTAACCTAAGAAATCTGGGCCTACTTTGTGAATTCCTGCTTGATCCTAGAGATCTCTGGCCTATGACTTTCAGGGAGGAGGATGTCATTCAACACCAGTGTTCCATTTGAGGACAGAGAGGGCTAGGTATCTAGCATTGCCAGCTTCTATCCCCTGTAATACTCGTGGGATAGGGATGAACACTCTGGAGTTGAAAGTGGAATGTGTTGATGGCCTGCAGCTTTGTTAGTTGGATAGTTGACTGTGTGTCCTCTCTTGAAGTGGGATAGGAAGGTGAAAATGGATAATGTGCTACTCTGGGCATCTTACTTGGCCTTAGCTATCTGAGCAGTGCAACTTGTTTACTGACAAGCTGTCTTTGGTAACTACTGTATGCATCCTCTCATTTCAGCCCCAACTTGGAAGAGCCACCCAGAATCATTTGAGAGTTGGTAGGCATCAACATTTTATTTATTAAATTAATTTATCAATATTATTTCCACAATCAATTATGTGATTGCTGTAGCTTTTATTTTTAATGGCCTATTGCTTGTTTTGTGAAACAAAGCGTGTATCAAAATGGATTTGAGAAAGTAAAGACAGCAAAGTACGTGAAATTGAGTTCAGTGTAGGCCTTGGCTGAAAAAGTTCTTACAACATAATTCTATTAGTGTTCTGCTTTTCATTAAGACAATAAGATTCTTGGAGTCAAGCAGCCAAAGTGTTTTACTAATGCTATGCTCAGGTGAGCTGTTACTATTTTTAGTGTACATCTCATCCCTTCTAACTTTTTCATCCATACGTAGATCAGAACTCTGCCATGTTTTTGTGAATTTTATAAAAGTTTACCCAAGCATAAATACAAGCAATAAAAAGAATATCTCTTATACATAAATATATACATCTGAAAAAAGCAGCTTCAAGATCAGTTAAATGTGGCAAAATATAAAAATACCACAACTGAATCATCAAAAGCAGATGATAAGGACTGATTAATTAGGATCTGGTTCCAGAGTAGGAAAAAAAGTGGATCTTCAGTCACACAGCCCAGTATTTGCATACAGGCATATCAGCTTTCCTATCTTTGCTTTGTGCACACATGAATTCAGAAGCACAGTAGACCATTACACAAGATGTGTGAAAATACACATTTCTACCAATATGTGATTTTTCCAAATACAGTACATGGAAATATTTTTCTCATCAGACATTCTGTTCACATCTCTGTTTCCGCTAATAGACTTTCTCCAAGGCCTGATGTTACCAAGACCATCTGGGAACTAGAATCTGAAATGGAAAAAAGTTTCTTTAGCATTGACACTGGTAACTTTTTATCTTCCTTTCGGCCCCGTAGATAGTGCTGCCAAAATCCAAAAGCAAAATGGTTAATTTTCAGCCTGTGAATTTTTCTTTTAACTTCGTCTCAAAGTCACAACAGCAAAAATCCAGCCATCTCTTATCTAGTGATAACAGCAGTTTCCTGCAGGTTTCAGCACTAGGAGACAAAGGAAGCCATCCTCAACTGCAGCAGAACCTTTTAAGAACACCAGGTTCATTAAGTCTCACTTTCTAAACACATTGGAAGTGTAATTACTGTAAAGTTGCAAGAAATCTTCAAAGCAACAAGTTTGTAAAATCACCTAGTGAGTTAACATTTGTTTCAGTACAAAAGATAAATTAACAGCCTGCATAATTAAAAAAAATTGAGGTAAACAGCAAAAAGCTGAATAAGAACTTAATCTTAAAAAGTTAGAAACAAATTAGGGGTTCAGACAGATTTGGAATATTTTGTTAAATGCTTTGGGAAATAATTAAATCCAGTATTTTTCATGGGAATATGAATTAAGTCTATTAGAAAATAAGCAATAGAAATTTAAATTTTGCAATTTTAAAAATAAAACACTAGAGGGGACTAAAACCTTCAGGCAGAAGAAAAGTAGAGTCTTTTGTGAAACCTACCAATGACAAACAACATTATGACATTTGAGACATTTTAGGAAATTTTTGAAGAATGGGGTTAGCATCTGATAGCTAATCTGCAACTGTTTTCCTACAGTATAAGAATGTATTACTTCCAAAAAAGAAACAATAACTGACAGAATATTTTGGAAGACTGACAAGAAAGGGATGAACAAGTATTAATGCAGAAATACTTGGAAATAAATTCTGGACTATAAGTTGGAGATGACCGACAAAATGGAATTACAAATAGTAAGACAGAATAACCCTGGATAATAACTTTTTAACAGATTTACAACTGTTATGTTGACTCCATCCTTCAGAGGTCGGTAAAATAAAGACCCAGATTGTTGAGGGCAATATGCTGACTCTGTAACCTGCTTAGAAAGGGCTGTAAAGCACTGTAAAGCAGTATATAAGACTAAAGGCTATTGCTATTTCAAACTTATAAAGGATTGAAGGAGACTCACTGGGTGTTGTAAAATTTGTTGATTTGAAAGTTCCTAATAGCTGAAAAGCAGTTAATAAATATTTTCCAAAAGTGATTAGGAAAGGAGGTATGCAAGCCAAGTGTCTTTTTGAGGAGCCAAATGGAGTTTGAACAAGATAGCTATTCCCTCATCTCCCAGAGCTTTAAAGCTACTGAGATCACTTTCTTGTGATCTCCCCATGAGGACCAACTATCTGGAGCACTTGTGGGTGATCTCAAGTCCTCTCATTGTCCAGAGATAAATTATGGAGAGGCAGTCTACTCGCTGGGTCTTCATTATGTCATGGTCAGCTTCAACCTTTGTGGTGCCATCTTCAGCTTGTCATTTCTTTCCCAGAAGTCTTCCCTGCAGTTTTCTTGAAAAGATTTTGGAAGTGGCTTGCCATCTCCATGAAAGCATTAACTATTAGTTTATATTCAAATTTAGTATCCATCGGCTTCTATTAAGATTTCATCCTGAAAGAGGAATTTCAGTTCTAGATGAACTATGCCAATTACGCTAATACAAGTAAATATTGGGATGAAGTAACAATACAATTTGGAGATACAAGTATCAAAACTTCAATATTACAAGAATGTGAACATATCCATTCTCCATCAATTTATATGGTGATCTGAAATATAGAGAATTCCTCTATTTTTGAAAAAGCATCTCATCACTAGGAGTCTCAACTAGTGGGCTATTTAAGTATCTGGTCTGTTTAAACTGTTCTACATGGCTAAATATACTTTTCCCCCTTATAAAGTCAGATCAACTGACTGAAATACAAATTAGTTTTACAGTATGATAGAAACATTCTAAAGATTAAATGATTAGTGTTCTAGTAAAGAAAATTATTTTCCTCTTTCCAAATAAATCAAAAGATAAAAAAATGTAGTATCCTAATTCCACATGCATGTAAATCTCCCACACAGTGTCACCTCCCATTCTCAAAAGGGAACCAATCTTACTGCTTTGACAGATCCAGGAATTCTTCTCTCTGGCCATCACTTCATGGTTCACAGTCTCATCATCTTCCTCTCCCTCTGAAAGAAGGTCTGAGATTTGCTGCTGTAGTTCAGGACTAATGTTGTTCTCTGCCAGGATCAATGTCTTCAGAGCTGTTGGATAGTTTTCCACCATGTCCAATAGGATCTGAATGGAGTTAGAACAGGGGCATCATGAAAAACAGCTCACTCTAGTCACCAGGTGAGAAAAAATGCACTACAAACATCATTTGGAGGTGGGAGAAACTTTTAAAGTAATTTACCAGATTCCCTGCATGATTTGCCCCCGTGACAGATTGGAAGGAAGCTAACCACCAGACTGCAAGAACAAGAGCAAGCAGTTAGATGAGGGGACCTAAACTCACTGCAATGAACAAGGACATGTATTCAATTTTGCAGCTATTAAGATTGTTGGCTGAGCAGGGACAAAAATAGCCAGAGAAATTATTGAAGCCTGGGAAACGGGCCCTTGATCAGTCAATAGGGGTGTTGATGTACCACCACCAGCTTACCATGTATTTAGGAGCCAAGTGTGGTGGCACAAGGAAACAACAACTAAGTACTTAACAGCCGGCCATCAGCACCCTAATTAACAGCTAAAAGCCACACACAGACATCATATAAATACAAGGAACAACAAAAAGCCACATACAACAGAGGCATCATATAAATACAACTCAGAACAGTCATGTGCACATATTCTGAAGAGAAAGGTTCCCTGAGGATGAGCTTCAACACGGGCCTGAAAGCTTAGAAGAATAAACCTTTGGTCCTGGTGACCGACTTAGACAGACTCCTACAAGATCTAAAGTGTACTTATGATGACAAGGGGTTAACAAGGATGGAATGGCCAATTAACCTAAAACAGTTATATTTCCTCCTATTCCCAATTACAATAATTACATAGAGCAAGTTCTGCATAGAATGGTACTGTGCTTTTATCACTAATTCACCCTATCCAACACCTGTGACTGTGTCCATCTCTTTTGGTTAAAAAAAACCAAAAACAAACAAACCCATTCCCTTCACATCAAACCAAAATCTAATGGGAGATAGGATGTCTTCCACATCATAAAGTTTTAAGTAATTGCAAATTCTTGGGTTCCTTGAGAAAAGGAAAAATACACTGGTGGGCGATGATGTGCAAGTGTTTGTCACACTGATTTTCATGACTGAGAAATAAGGGCAACAAAGAGAGATACTGCCTTACCATAGCTGACTGGTTGGTAAGTCCTGTCCCTTCCAAGTCTAAAACTTCTAAGGTGCGGCTGGATGCCACTGAAACAGCCAGCATTGCTGCTATCTGGTCACCTATGGAACAGAAAGACAGGAGATGTGAGAAAAACATAGTGCAGCTCTACCAGATGCACCCATTTCAAGAGTAGCAGAATATGAAGGACATCCGCAGTCATCTGAATGCTGAAAGTTTCTCTGCTTTCCCTCAGATTATGGTTCCTAATGCTGAATTCCATAGTTGCAGCTTTATAAACACGATGCTGAGTTAATACTTTACTGTGTGTTAACAGTGCAAGATGCTAGGCAATGGTGAGGAAATTCTCCTTTTCCTCCTGCTTTTCATCCTTGGCAAACTATAACCCAACAATAGCAAAAAAATCAAATAAAATCCTTAGACACTGAGCAAATCTCTTGAGTAATCATTCTCTCCTTGTCTCTGAGTAGCGCTCTAGCAGCTTATGATTGGTTAGCAGATAAAAAGATATGCACTTCTCCATGGGAACTGAGATGGAGGGGAGGAAAGAGGGGGGATATTCATCCTGAGACAGCAAGGTGAGGTAGGGCATGCACAAGTATGGCCAAGATGTTCACATCTATCTCCTTCAGTGGGGTAAGTAGTACAGAGCAGCCTGGCTCACCAGCTGCCAAATCAGCTCAGCAATGCAGCGGGGAAGAGAAGAAGTTTCCATGGCAACCACTGTTTGAACTCCTCTTTGCCTTGCTATTTTTTGAAGCGGCAGCTGGGAAAGGGCTAACTGATGCTCACCAAGCCCAGGGGTAAAGATGTACAGGATGTGGGATAGAATCCAGCCAGTGACCCCACAAACGAGGTACTGCCACAGAGTCTGAAGGAGAAGCTCATAATCTTGATTCCAGATGGCCCAATAGTGCTCTGCTGCCCTTCCTTTGCGCAGAATGAGGTAGTCCTCCGTCCTACTTTTCCAGAATAGACGATGGCAGGTTTGGTTTGGTGTTTTCAGCTTTCAATTATGGAGTGGTTTCTTAAGCCTTCTTTTATTGCTTCTATTTTAAGCATGTGGATAGAAGATTATTCCTGACAAAATGGTCCTGGCTTACAGACAAGGGGGGAAAAAAAACTAGATTGAGGGGAGACCTGACTGAAAATTTACCAAGTCCCTACCAGCCTTTGAAGATCAGGTGGGGGAGGTACAGTCCCAACACATCCAGAAGACAATGCGCTATAGAAGGTTGGGATAGAAAACACCGGATAAGCTGGCACAATTGGGCTGATTTTGTAGAAACCAGCTTCACAGCTGCCAAATTTGCTTTTTTTCCCCAAGTAGCCTTCTCATAGTCTTTAGATCCTTTTGATTAGAGGACAGAATAAACTACTTTTAAATTACTATTGGTATAAGGCAACCATGTCAAATCCACAGGCCGCCTGGACAGCAAATAAGGCAGCCCTACGAGATTTATAACAAAAATTAAAGTTTGTTATTTACATACATTAACTACATATTTTATATACTGCCCAAGACAATTCCTCTTCAGTCAATGAGGCTCAGGCAAATCCAAAAATTGGGCATCCATGGCATAAGACAATTTGACTTTTTTCCCTAACCGAGAAGACATAACGGCCTTCTAAGTAGCTCCGTTGGGTATTATCTGGATTTATTTTAAGATGCAAGCCTTAAATGTTATAACCTGTAGCAGCCAAACAAGATCTCTAGTAGCCGGAAGGATGCACAAACACTGCCAAGTATCCAAATCCAAATAATCCTCTCACCCAGGGGATTGTAGTCCAAGTTCAACACTCGCACCTGTGAACTATGAGCCACTGCAATAGCCAGACGTCCCCATCCCTTGGGGGTGATGCCAGAATTTGCACTGAGAGTCAGTTCCTTCAATCCTAGGTATAAAAGAAAGAAAAGCCAAGTGACCTCAAGGCAACTTTTACAAAGCCTCTTCCATTCAGGGTTGATATCCCTGAATTATTAATGCAGATGAAACTTACCCAACCCTGATCCATTAACCTCAAAATATACTTTCAACACGCTATTGTTCAAACTAGCGCTACAATTATTTGGTGATCCATGTTAGATATGGAGAAACTAGAAGTGAAGCAAAACATTTTCAGAAGCAAAAGAAGCTCTAGTTCAGGGGTGTCCAACCGTGGCAACTTTAAGACTTGTGGACTTCAACTCCCAGAATTCCTCAGCCAGCTTTGCTGGCTGAGGAATTCTGGGAGTT